TGGAGGTGGAGGAGGAGGGGGAGGAAGAGCAGGAAGGGGATGAGAGACGGAGGAGGAGGAGGAGGAGGAGGAGGAGGAGGAGGAGGAGGAGGGTCGATCGATCGAGCTGTCGGGCCGATGTCGAGGGTGAATCGTGCTCTAAGCTAGACACAAGGGTGGCTGCTTAAGAAACTATCTCGGCCTAGCTGTGGTTCGCTTCGTAGCCTGGGGGAGCAGACGTCATCTGACGCTCGCGCCCTGCCTGCACCGTCAACCCCACGCAGAGGCCTGCGGGCAGGGTAGCACCCGCCCTCACGGAAGTCTACCCGCTCTGCTGCCAAAGCCTTACACCTGACTGTCTTCACTCTGGCTGGCTTCACTCTCTACATCGTCGTTATTGTCTTCATCGGAACTCAGGCTGGTACGCAAGGCAAGGGCAGTGCCATTATGGTCGAGCTCAAATACCTGTAATGAGGCCCACCACGAAAGTGCTTCGCCGACCATCTCCGACAGGATGCGTCCGAGCCACTCCCGAGATGGTGCGTGTCCCTCTCGAAGCCGCTCCTCGACGAGATCGTACACGAGGTCTGCGCACATGGCCTCGGGGTTCTGCTTCGACGTGTCGAGCTGGTTCTCCCTGTCGTCGACCTTGCTCTTCGCGGTCTTACCCTCGAACTTTAGCGCGTTTTCCGACTCCCGCGTGTGGTAGCACAGCGGCTCCTCTCCGCTCTGCTGGTCCTCGCACTCCTCCTGGGGCCGCTCCTCCTGCGGGGGGGTGTGCGTGCCGTAGCCTAGGAGGCCGCTCGGGTACGCGAGCTCGTCCGAAAAGCACGTCGAGTATTCAACCTCTGTGCCGCACTCGAGATCCTCCTCGGAATAGTGGTCCTCGGTATCCTCGCTCTCGGAAGGTGTGGGCCTCGAGTCCGATGGCCGCACCTCCAGCGCCCTCATCATCCGCGCGGTCTCCTCGTAGTCGATCTGGTCGGTTCCGTTTGTGTCCGCCTCGCGATTCATCTCGTCTGTGTCCTTGTGGCGCTACTCCGCGGCGCTGGTGAATCCTCCCCGCCGTGGTCGAAGATCTTGATCGCCTCGATCACCTCCTCCTTGATGTCGGTGTCCTGTAGGGTGTTGTACGTACCGTGGTCATCCGCGCCATGAAACCGCCAGCCAAGCAGTGCCGCACGAGCTACGTGCAGCCGCTGTCTCCGGTCCGCGCGCCTGCGCGCCGCCGAAAGGCCCGCGGCTGGGTGCCACAGCCCAGGCGGGGCGGGCACTCTCGTCCTTGGACAGCCAGATGCAGGTCCCGCGGCTGCGCCGCCGCGGCCAGCCGAGCCCGTCTCCCCCGCCTCCCATGCCGTCGCTGCCATGCGGGCCTCCGCCCAGTCGGTCGTCATCCACGTGCTGTGGAATGGGCTGCCCTGACAATCTCTTGGGCCTAGATGGCAGCTAGGAGGAGGAGGAGGAGGTAGAGGAGGAGGAGGAGGAGGAGGAGGAGGAGGAGGAGGGGGAGGAGGAGAGGGAGGACGCGGAGGAGGAGAAGAAGGAGAAGGATGAGCAGGCGAAGCAGGAAGAGCAGGATTAGCAGGAGGAGGAGGAGGAGGCAGAGGACGAGGAAGAGGAGGGAGATGGGGGGAGGAGGAGGGGGGGGATGGAGAGGGGGGGGGGGGGGAAGTAGGATTGGGGGGGGGGGAGGGGGGAAAGGGGCCGCAGGGGGAGGAGGGGGAAGAGGAGAAGGAGGAGGAGGGGGAGGAGGAGGAGGAGGAGGGAGGTAGAAGGGGAGGTGGAGGAGAGGAGGAGGAGGAGGGGGAGTAGGAGGGGAGGGGAGGAAGGAGGGGGAAGAGGAGGAGGAGGAAGAGGAGGAGGAGGAGGAGATGAGGAGGAGGATGGGGATAGGGAGGGGGAAGGGGGGCTGGGGAGAGGATGGGGAGGGGGGGGGGGGGGGGGTGAGGAGGAGGAGAGGAGAGGAGGAGGAGCAGGTGGGGAGCAGGACGAGAACTAATTATGAGGAGGTGGAAGGAGGATGAACAGGAGGGAGAAGGAGGAGCGAGGAGGAGGAGAAGAGGAGGAGAAGGATGAGGCAGCATTAGGAGGAGGCATGGGGAAGGAGCAGGGGGAGGGGGAAGGTTGGAGGGGGAGGGGGAGGGGGGGCATGGACGGCGGAGGACGGGGGAGGGGGTGGACGGAGAGAGGAACTTAGTGGAGGACAGGTGAGAGGAGGAGGAGAAGGGAGGAGGTGGGAGGAGGTGGGGAGGGGGAGAGGGAGGGGGCGGGGGAGGGGCGGGGGAGGGGGAGGAGGAGGAGGAGGCGGAGGAGGTGATGAGATGAGACCACTCGCGAAGCGAGTCAGAGAAAGTACAACCCTCGGGACCGCTTCTCACCATTGCTGAGAATTTGAGGCCATAGATTCCGAGAGATTCGGCTCAAGTACCCCTTCCGGGACTTAGTGATCGGGACAGGAAGGGGCCTACGGGCAGGGCGCGCGTCCGCAAGGCCACAAAGCTGCTGCTGGGTAGAATAACCACACGCCTTACAAAACCACAGGTCCAAGGAATAATGGTACAATATCACGTGTGAACCGTGAACCTCGCCCCCAGCGAGATGTAAAATTCGACCCAGGGGAGGTTTCGAGAGCGTGGCCGAAACATGCAACAAGTCGTAGCAATCTTGATTAAGCCAACGGGTCCTATTCGCCTCGCTGGTAGAGCTCTGACACCTAGAGCACGTTTTCCCACGCTCAGGCTGCGCCTAGAAGAGAACAGCGCCACAGCCACAAGAAGGGGGGGAGGGGCAACAGCAGCAGCAGCAG